TCTTTCTTTCTTTCTTTCTTTCTTTCTTTCTTTCTTTCTTTCTTTCTCTCATCTCTCATCTCTCTATCTAACAAAGATATATGGCCACCCACCTTACACATAGGTGACTCTAGGTAATTTACAACATTAAAAACACACGATAAAATCCCATAAAAAAACCCTCAAACCCCACCCCCCCAATTCATCTCTAGGCAATATCTTACACAGCTCAATGCAATATATGAATGATATGATCTGTGAACAGGCTAAACATATAGATATTTCCCAGGAAATCAAAATTTCACTAGAAAAGAATTGGATAAGTTCAAATGACAGGTCAGTAAGAACCTCCCACAAATAGCTTAATGTTGCTTTAAGAAACAAGGTACATCATCCATTTCTTAGAAATGGAGATTTGGAACTATGAGAAACAACAAGAAATGCCTGCAGAACAAGAAGATTGCGACAAAGAAGAAGCCATCTTTAATGAACAACTAATCTTAGGTGGGGGGAAAAAAGGAAAGGCGGGGAAAGAGAATGGAAAGTTTAAGATTGGGAAAAACAACTCCAAAAAAGAATAGAGGCAAAAATAAGTATAAAATCAGAAAGCAACAGAAGAGGGAAATGCAGAAGAGAAAATTAAAAGTAGAGAGACAAGGGGGTAAAAAGGGGAGGGAGAAGATGAGAGGGAAGAAAGAAAGGAAAAGAAGTTATAAAGGACAGAAACAAAATATAGAGAAACAGGGCCTATTTAGAGATAATGGGTGAAAATTTAATGGAAAAATGGATTCTGCAAAGGTACATAAGATAGTATTGTTATATTAGAAATAGAAATAATTTTAGAAAATATGAAACAATGTATGATTAAAATGTTTGATAAAATAGCTATCATAATTCAATGGAATACTTGTCAATAAATAAATGTAACAAAATGAATATTTAATGATTTACAAAACATATGTAAAGAGAAATAAGGGTAAAATTAATTATGGAGATTATATGTGTCTTTAAGGAAGTATGATATTTAATTGAAAAGAAATGTTAAAGATGTTAAGATTTTAATGATTATTAAAGATAGAACTGAATTGGAATGGAATGAGGGTTTATAATTACATATATTTATAATCCTTTTTTAAAAAAAGAATATAGTGTGTATTATAAGAATGTACCAAGCAGAATTCGATTGGAAGTTATGTATTATGTATTATATTGAAGGTCATAACCTTAAGGTATATATTGAAGTTTAAATAAGGGTTGAATGGATATAATTAAAAGATATAAAGGTGTCATACTCCAATTAGTAACTACAGGAGAAAATTTGTTTAATGAGAAAAGATAATATGAAATTGAAACAGAACAGACAAAAGTATAAATACAATGATTTGAATTGAGATGAGATAATCAAAATAAAATTGAGAAAATTAAAAGAGGGGAAAAACTATATAGAAAATGTAGAATAGTATAACATATGGAATAAAACACAAAAAGGAGCATGAAATTGAGTTTTGTGTCTGTATAAAGAAGTTCAACCCGGGACCATGCTATTTTCAAAAAAGATGTTTTACTTGTATTTTGTGTTTTGTATGTGTGAAAACCCAAATAAAACTTTATTAAAAAATAAAGTACATAATCCACATTCTCCTTCAAGAAAGTGTGTGAGATAGACCAATTCAGTCTGCCCTGTTACATTCCCACTGTGCTTCTTCAAATCAGATAAGATCCACCATATGCAAAGGATTACTTGATTGCTTTCTCACCTCTGTTGGGTCGGATGATGAGGGAGGTATCTAAGCATCCCTGCAGCCTGCAGTAGCCATCTATTAAGTCAGCCATGTTCTCTGCCTCAGCCAGGGAGGATGTTTTAATAGTCAAGGACTGCCAAGTAAAAAAAGCCATATAAGGTTCCTATGCCAACCAGACAGATAAGAGATTTCATTGTCAGTGCTCACATTTGTCCATCAAGATGATAACTACATTGGTTTGAAGCCCTTGGTTGGAACCAAAATGCATGTTGGAGGCAAGCTGAGAAAGAGATGAACCAAAGCAAACTATCAGCACCAGAAAGGCCCAAGAAAATATCAAAGTATAACCTTTTATTTTTAAACTTAAATGTTTTCTCAGAGTTCTTTTATTGTCTGACAAAGTTGCTTCTAGCAAAAGTTCAATAATTTGCAAACTTAGTTGAGTGCAACCTGTGTGTCTGTAAAGCGAAGTTTCCCTCAAGTTGAACCTGATTCTTGGTGACTTCATGGACATGTCTATACAATTGCCATGGCAACAGTTAGTTTGTATTGTGTATAGGTAGGCATGACATGCAGTTTAGTGTAGTGAATAAAAGCACTGGCTAGAAACGGTGAGACTGTGAGTTATAATCTCATTTTAGGCAAGAGGTTGGCTGGATGACCTTGGGCTAAACACTTTCTCTCAGCTCCAGGAAGCAGACAACAGCCAACTACTTCCAAAGAAACTTCCCAAGAAGTTTCATAGCATAGATTTATCTATGTAGCTGCCATGAGTTAAGGATGACTTGAAGGCACATAGGTTCTCATACTATTAAATCTATGGAGAGAAACAAGTTTTTCTCCTCTCACAATCTTAGCATGTAGACATCACCCACTCAAAAATAAATACAGAGAGATTTGAGACTGATGAAAGGAAGAAGGACTGTTTTATGTAGTGCACAGTTATATGCTGCCCTCAAATGTGTTAATGGTCATCAATCCAGACAGGGTTAAATGGCCATTAGTCTTTGGCTCAGTATTTGTAAACAGCAATGGATCAAGCCCAGTACTCCCTAGTTGAACCACAGACAACTACAATGATCTAATACATATCGATTTTACAGAAGACAATGTTGAAAAAGCACTGTGCAATCTAAAACCATCCCTATCTATTGGACCAGATGGAATATGTGCCTACTTCTTAAAAAAGCTACCCACTGCCATAGCAAAACCTCTAAGCATAATCTTTGAAAAATCTTTCAGGACCAGCTCCTTGCCAAAACTATGGTCACAAGCCATGGTCATCCCCATCTTCAAAAAGGGACAGCCCAGGCTAGTTGAAAATTACAGACCAATCTCTTTATGCTGCGTCACCTGTAAAGTCATGGAATCAATTATTAACCAATCCATCACCCTCCACTTAGAAACAAACAACCTACTCTCTAATAAACAAGTTGGTTTCAGGAAAAAACTATCATGTAATCTGCAACTCTTACACTGCAAAAACATAAAGACTACACAACTCGATCAGGGCAAAGCAATAGGCTCAATCTACATAGACTTTTGTAAAGCCTTTGATTCAGTGGTACACGACAAACTACTACTAAAACTAAAATCTTATGATATCTCTGGACATCTACATAACTGAATAGAAGCATTCCTGTCAAACAGACAACAAATGGTCAAAATTGGGAGCGTCCTATCAAATTCTGTACCTGTCAACAGTGGTGTCCCCCAAGGCAGTGTTTTAGGACCAACTCTCTTCATATTCTACATAAATGACCTCTGTGATCATATTAAGAGCAACTGCATTCTCTTCGCTGATGATGTAAAGCTATTCAACACCACAGACAATACTACTACCCTCCAAAAAGACCTTGACTATGTATCAGAATGGTCAAACAAATGGCAACTTCAAATTTCAACAAATAAATGCTCTGTTTTACATATTGGCAGAAAAAAAATCAGAAAATAAAATACAAGCTAAATAGTCAAGACTTTGTTGAGGATCCAAATTTTGTCAAGGACCTTGGAGTACTCATCTCAAATGATCTAAATGCTAGAGCCCACTGTAACTACATTGCCAAAAAGGCATTAAGAGTTGTTAATCTAATCCTACGTAGATTCTTCTCTGGTAATATCACACTACTAACTAGAGCATACAAAACATTTGCTAGACCAATACTTGAATACAGCTCATCAGTCTGGAACCCACATTATGTATCTGATATTAACACAGTTGAGAAAGTCCAGAAATATTTCACAAGAAGAGTTATCCGCTCCTCTACTCGTTGCAGAATACCTTATGCCACCAGACTTGAAATTCTAGACCTAGAAAACCTAGAACTACACCGCCTTCAGTCCAATCTAAGTATAGTATATAAAATCATACATTGCAATGTCCTACCTGTCAATGAATACTTCAGCTTCAACCATAACAACTAGAGCACACAATAGATACAAACTCAAGGTTAACTGCACCAATCTTGACTGCAGAAAATACGACTTCAGCAACAGAGTGGTCAAGGTTTGGAATACTCTGACTCTGTGGTTTCTTCCCCAAACCCCAAAAACTTTAACCTTAGACTGTCTACTATTGACCTCACCCCCTTCCTAAGAGGCCTGTAGGGGGCGTGCATAAGCACACCAATCGTGCCTACCATCCCTGTCCTATTGTTTTTTATTTTTCTTATAAGTATCTATCTCATGTATTCAAAACTATATTTATTCTTACACCTGTATCTTGTAAGCCAGGGGTCCCCAACCACCGGGCCGCGGACCGGGACCGGTCCATGGAACATTTCGTACCAGGCCGCCGGTTTGCTGGGCGCCGCGTCTTGTTTGACGAGAAAGTGCTTCCGGGTGAGCTTTTCCGGTTGGAAAGCGGCGTTTGGGTCCTGAAGGAATCCTCGCGCCTTAGTTTCATCGAAGGGGGGGGGCGGCTTCGAATGAAACTAAGGCATGAGTATTCTTTCAGCACCCAAGGCAAGGCGAGCTGAGCGACCGTCCCGAAGCCGCCCCGAAGTGAAGCCCATCAACAAAGGTACAAAGGAGGAGTTGAAGGTGGCGGGGAGAAGTGGGGGACGGCTGGCCGGCTGGTCGCTCGGCTCACCTTGCCTTGTCATGCGTGCTGATGCCGGTACCGGGCCGCGGATCATTTTATGATGCCGGTACCGGGCCGTGGCACAAAAAAGGTTGGGGGCCACTGTTGTAAGCGATTGACAAATCAAATAAATACTAAATACTAAAAAATACTAAATTGATGAAGGTTTGCTATCTGTGAAACCAGACTGATTCCTTGATTCCTAACTGCTAAGGAACAAAAATGGAGGAGAGATACTGAATTCTGGTATCCATGCTTATGTGCTTTGTGGTTGCGTTTGACTGCCTACTACAGAAGGCTGGACTGCAGCAGCTCTTGGCCCTGGTCCTGTTTTTACTTTTTCCTCTCTCAAAAAGAGTGTTGGAAGACTAGAACAGAGAGAAAACTGAGATATGATCCAAGCCACCGTGCACTTCCTCCTTACCTGGGGGTTCCCAGTAAGACCAAGCTGCAGCAACGCTCTGCCTTCCTCCACAGTGGTACATTTTATGGATTTGATCTGCTTGAATTCAGCCAAGCAAGTGGGCTGCAAAGGAGCAACATTAATGTTTTATGAAAGGTTCACTTGCATTACAATCAAGACATCTTTCTGCTTTTCACACTCTGTAGTGTGGGGTGGGATGCTATGCCAGACCCAGACATGCAGAGTAGCAGCATTCTGATTCATACCTCTTTATTTTTTAAATTTCACTAAAAAAAAAAATGATTTCCAGTGACACAAATTTCATTGTATTTTCAGGTTAGTGTGACTATTATTGTAATTTAGGATCCAGGGCAAAAGTGCCCTGGCCAACCCATAGTTTGTATTTCACTAAAGGATGTCTTCAGTCTAGGAAGCTCATCAGTTCTCACTTGTGAGACTTCAGCTCTCTTGTAAAGAAAATCAGCTCTGCCACCTTGGAGCTAATGCACCTAAAACTTTAGCATAATCTCTGCCTAGGTGATACTGAAAACAAAGCACAGTGGAATTATCTGTAAGCTGGATAAATGCTGAACCAGGGGTCTCTTTAAGTCGAGTTTTCTAAAATGAACTGGATATTCTTTGACAGAAGCATCAGTGGCCAAAGTGCTTCTATGCTTGCTTGCTTTTTATTTAGTTATCCATACATCCATAAAAAAGAATTATCAAGTTGAAAATGATTTTGGAGGTCATCTAGTCTAACATTTTACCCAGTGCAGGAATTTTTACCCCATCCTGATTGTATGCATATGTATGTTTCTATATGGGGTAGCCCAGTTGACAATTTGAAATTTTAGAGGGTTTACATAGGGTACAAAAAAACAAAGAAAGAAAAAATACCCATAACCAAAATAGAAGCAACCATGAGCACAATGAAACCAAGGCCAAAACCACCCTCATAATCACACGATAAGCTCATCCAGTGCCCTGGCCCAGGAGTCTTCAAATTTGACAGCTTTAAGACTTGTGGATGTCAACCCCCTGAATTCCTCCTCCAGTCATGTTAGCTTAGGAATTCTGGGAATTGAAGTCCACAAATCTTAAACTTGCCCTGGCCCAATGACTCAAGGAAGAGTCAAGTTTTCACAGAAGGCCAAGACAATCAGGGCTATTTGAAACTTAGCATGCCTTTTGGAAGAAGTATCATGACAGAGAAGGCATACTTCACTAGATGACACAAATGACTCCGAGCATGCCAATTCTGTTAGCATTTATGCAAAAAGAAGAAACAACTGGAGATAGCTGTACCACAAATAACCTGGTCCTGTACCAAGAAGGAGGTTAGAGTGATAACCAGAAGCTTGGTTTATTAGAAAGCCTACTGAGAACCAGTGTAGCTCACAGAAGACATTTGTTATGAGGGCATTCCCTGGTGCCTCCTTGACTGCTCATGTTGCTGTATTTTGAATCAATCTTAGTTTCTGGATGGTTCAAGGGCAGCCCCATATAGAATGTGTTACAATAGTCTAGGTGTGAAGGCACCAAGGCATATTTGGAAGAACTAAGCTGGAGAATTGATTCCATCTCCAAGCACATAAACTTGAATTATCTAGCAGAGAGATAATATCCTGAGTTTCATGATCATGCTCTTCACAAGACCCTTTGCCTTAAGTCTTACCTCATGTTTTTTACTGCTTGAAAAGACATAGCCCAGCTAGTCTTACACCTATTAGATTTCTACTCAGAGAAAGAAACAGGAAAATCCTGCATTAAAAATTGTGTTATTCAATTCAGAGAAGATGATTGTATGGCACAAAAACAACCCCGAAGTTACCATGGAAACACTCCTGTTCTCTCACTTTCTGCAAAATAGCTTAACTTGTATTCAAGCAACAAAAAAAGGGGGAAACAATAGATTGCAACAAAAAAAATTGTATTTGATAGATTATGAAAACCCTTCTTTACAAGATTTCTCAGCAACTCACCTTTGCTTCTTTACTTGTCATCTGCCGGATGCCTTTTGGGCCGATCACCAGGTCCACAGTGATATTCCATCCTTGCTGAAAAGGGAACAGAGAAAAGAAATTTGTGGGTTGTTTTTTTTTGTAATTTTTGCAAGCCCCTGACATTCTGGATATGTTGGGCAGCTGAGGAATTCTGGAGCAGGAGTGATAGAAGATTATGGAAGAATTCTAGAACAGGAGGGGATGCAAATGACAATTAATATTATATCAGTCTGGAGGTGGAAAGTTAGAGATGCCACAAAGTTTGAAGCAAAATGATAAACATAAGCTGAAACTACCATGAATATGATGCATGACCTAAGTAAGCTCTTCAGTGTGAAAACCTTTTGGAATGAAATCCAGTTAGCATACATAGGCCCAGTGAAATCAGGTAAGCAGGGACAAGCCAAAAGTAAGACATTGTGTAAATTTGCATAGAAGCCTCAATTAACAATGGAGAATGACTGGAATATATTATGACATTAAATATTTGCTTATCTTTGTTAGTTAGCAAGTCTGAAGTTTGGGGATTTGGCTTTTTTTTTTCAAAACATGAGAATGTCATGCTATTGATCTATATATCATCTTTGATCACATCCCTTCAGCTATTCAATCCCCATATGCAAACACTATCCTTTGTCTTACAAGTTCCAATCCACTGAATTTCAGCTTCAGAAGTTCCAAAATTCCAAATGTTGGTCCCTATTTATCTTGTCAGAACATCTTGCTATACAATACTGGTAGACAATACGCCAATCACATCATCCATTTTGATAGCATCCTGAAGACAGAGGTGGTATTCAGCAGGTTCTGACCAGTTCCGGAGAACCGGTAGTGGAAATTTTGAGTAATTTGGAATACCACTTCTGACTGACCCCGCCCCCATAATTGGAACTCTGCTTCCTGAGTCCCAGCTGATTGGCTGGGTCTTTTTTTGTTGCCTTGCACAGGGGAATGGAGCTGGAAAGCAGGTTAGTGGGGTGGGGAGGGAATGAAGATTTTACAGTATCCTTCCCCTGCCACGCCCACCAAGCCATGCCCACCAAGCCACGCCCACAGAACCGGTAGTAAATTTTTTTGAATCCCACCACTGCCTGAAGAGATAATGTTTATAAGGTCAACCTTGCTTAATACATCTATATCTAAACCAGGGGTCAGCAACCCATTGCTCTGGAGCTGCATGTGGCTCTTTTATCCCTCTGCTGCAGCTCCCTGTCACTGGTGGGCACCACAATTTTGAGAGGAGCTTCCAGTTGTGGGGGGGAAGCACAGCGCACCAGGGGGAGACTCTATGGCAAGGGGCAGGTTTTCTGATTGGCTCCCCAATTGATAGGGCTTTAGGTTAGGACAGTAGGGGAAAAAGGACGCCGTGCTAGGAGGAGACTCTATGGTGGGGGAACCGGACTTCCAGTTGGCTCCAGAATTGAATGAGGGGCTTCCGGTTAGGACCTTTGTGGCTCTTTGAGTGTTTAAAGTTGCCGACCCCTGATCTAAACTATAATTGGAACTACAATTAAGCCACAGAGACTTTGGGAAATATTTCCTTGTCTGCCCAATACTTACAATCAACTCACAGCGATAGCTTTCTTGATCAATGTTGGCGAAGGTGGAGAGTGTGCCAAGGAACTTCATGATGCATTCTTCCTCTCTCAAGAGCGCATACTGCTGGAAAGTCTGCTGAATCATCTTGCGGAACTGCTTTGGCTGTGAATGGGAAACAGGGAGGAATTAAAAAGAAAAAGGGAAAAAACACTCTTAAAACTTCTTAATAAATGCAGACAGAAACCTAAGAGGGAATGAAACTTCTTTTTTGCAACTTTCACATTACAACCACTGGAAATCTAAGACGTTTTGTTCAGACAAGCAGAATACTTTAGGCAGTAAATAGATGTGAGATGACTGCAATTTTCAAATGGCCATTTCTGTTGTTTAATCTTGTTGCAATTAAAGAAAAATACTGCAGTACTTTGCTGGGCTGCTTTTCGATATGGAGAGAAATTTTCAGAGCAGTAATAAATATTTTGACCCAATCCTTCAGTATGAAAGCGATGGCACAATTCATTCAGCCATTTCAGATTCTGAAGATTTTTTTTCTGCCATTGATACAGATCAGATTTTCACCCAGCATTTATCTGTAGAAAACCACGATGATACCAACATGGTGTAGCACGCAGTATTGTCACCATGCAAATGCTACTATTGCACACTTATGTTCCAAGATCTGCCACAAATATTTAGGTTGCATCATTTGAGTGATGATATTGCCATGCATATTTTGTCACTTCCCAACTCTCATGGATATTCATGCTTTAAAACAGGGGTGTCCAACCTTGGCAATTTTAAGACTTGTGGACTTCAACTCCCAGAGTTCCTCAGCCAGCTAAGCTGGCTGAGGAACTCTGGGAGTTGAAGTCC